TAGGATTCCGCCGACAATATTTCGAGATGGGTTGCAAAATGGTGGGCAAAGGCGATGATTTGTGCAAAAAGCCATAGAAGAAAACAAAACGAACAATAACTAAACACAGAGGCAATGATTTGTGCAAAATGTCGTAGACGAAAACCTAACGAACAATAACAAAACACAAAGGCGATGATTTGTGCAAAAAGCTACAAAAACCTAGCAAATAATAACCAAACACAAAGGTTGTAGAATGGAGAGTGGGGTAAAAGAAGGGTTTGGAACTTCCCCACTTGCACTTGAAAGAGTGTGAGAGCCACTAATTAAAAGTAACCTACAACCATGGCTTTAATATATTAATAATACCATCACTAAGGGAACTAGACGAATCTGCAAAAGTTTGTAACTAGCCCTGGAGAACGCTAAGGTTTATGCTTGAAGAAAGGAAGAAGAGCAGATTGTGAGAATTCAGCTTGATGCCTTTTCTCTTATTTTCCATTCCATTATATACTAGCGTGGGTCCCGGCCATTTGGACTGGTCGGAGGAAGGTGAGGTATGAAATTTGATAATGTAATGGGGTGTATAGCTTATTGTTGTATAGTTTTTTTTGGAAACACGTGATAAAAATAGTGGATTTTAGTAGGAAAGAGACATCAATGATGCAACGAATCAAAAATCATCCTTATGAACCAAAATCAAGTACCTGTTACCTTGTCAAACAATATTGTTACTGGTAATATGATGAGGTAGAGTAAGTTTTATAGAAACCGAATTCCAGAAAATCGAATAAAAAATCGCCTATCCCGCCGGTTTTCGAGAAATGATCTCACAATCGTTGCTAGCTTTTACTCGGCCCGATGGCCGATTAATTTGCTTTATAAAACTTTCATCTTGTCATCATTGTGCTTTCTGGTTTTTTTCCAAGCCATAATAAAATCTAAAGAAATCAAGAATGAACAACACGATTTGGGATAGGAACCACCGTTCTTGTATCCCTAGAAAAGAGTGGTAAACACGGACTCACCTGCCAAACTGGTTTGGATTGAGATTTTTATCGGGCACCAGGGAACCATGTGATTATAAATTAGACTTCATCAAAACGGGCTAAAACTTGAAATTCAGTCTATTTGAACGACCCATGCCAAACAGTAATTATTCTTTACTTTTAAACTTTCTATTTGAAAATAAAAAATAATGAAAGAAAAGAGATGACTGCAATTCGCCATTTGCACATCACTGATTCGGGAATAAAACTATAGAATTTCGAAAGGAAACTGAAAATGTTTAGGATCGTTTTAATGTTAAAAATAACCAAATAGATCTTTCTGTTTAGTTTTTTTCTAACAAATACCAAACGATTCCCTATAATATACACTATAATTTAATCATATGATATCAAATAATTACATAATATATATTTGAAATGATAAAAATTGGACTAATTGGGTTAATCGAGGTTGAACTATTGAATAACTTTAAAATACATTATATTTTAGCCTGTAAGATATAAAATAATAGCATAATATATATTATGCTAGAGAAAATAGCTTGTTATAGAATGACAAACCCATGATGTTCATTTGTTTTATTTGATGGGCAAATCCCTTATAGGTCAGACCCATTCAACTCTTTTATTTTATGATTAGCGGATAGCCCATTAGTATCCATGCATTAGTTTATTCTTAAATTTTTTTTCCTTTTAGCAATAAAAAGGAGTATTGTTTTTGCCTTTCCATATATATATTTTACCACCACGGAGAAATAAAAGGATTTAAAGAAAAAAATTGACACTCCTGGACTCGTTTAAATCCGCATGTGTACGGTAAGTTGGCCCGTTCCACAGAGGAGAAAGAAAAAAAATGACACTCCCTATTCTACGCTTTCTACAAACGCTCCTGGAGCAGGCAATTTGAAATGGGGGAATGGTTTTTTCCTCTCTGCGATTATATTTTTTTAATTTAAAAATATACAATAAATGTACTTAGTGTGATTGGTTATAATCTTTATTTTTCTATAAAGTGGTCATGGTTCGAATCCTAGTAAGTGTCATTTTTAATGAATAAAAAAAAGTAATTGTGAAGACTAAAATGTCCTTCCTACTATCGGTAACTACATACTAACAAATGAAAAGAAACAATTACAAGACAACAATTGGCAAACTAATCAACTTCATTATTTATCAACTAAAGCTGCATACAACGTCGCTTTAGCTCTGCGGGGTAGAACCACTTGAGCAAAACGCCGCCGTCTTCTCCAAGTTGTTGATCGATGCTTCAGGCTGAGTGAAAGGAAGCTCAACCTGTTCTTCTTCATTCCATTACAGCTGGATTGCAAATCCAATACACAGATCCTCTTCACACGGCCCCTCAAGCTAGCAAGCCCGCATTGTGCAATGCCAGCTTGGAAAGTAGATATATAAAGCGTTCATTAGATAGCCCTTTTGTAAAGAGATATGCTAACTATTTGTCAGTGTTAACATGCTTCAAGTTCAACAAATTAGACTTCAACCTCTCTCGTATAGTATGCCAATCCATCTCTATATGCTTAGTTCTTTCATGAAAAACAAGATTTTCTGCTATATAAATTGCTGAATGGTTATCACAGAATACTTTAACATGTTGTGGACGTGGGATACCATAAAATGAGAGTAAGGATTTTAACCATTATACCTCACAGGTAAGTTGAGCGACAACTCTATATTCAACTTCTGAGGAAGATCGTGAAACTGTACTTTGTATCTTGCTCTTCCAAGTAATCAACGAATCTCCCAAAAAGGTATAATAACCTGTCACTGACTTCCTTGTATTAAGGCAAGTGACCCAATCTGAATCACTGAATCCTCTTAATGTAAGTGAGGAGTTGGATGAAAACCATAGACCCTGTCCATGACTACTTTTCAAGTACCTCAAAATTCGATGGAGACCTTTCAAATGAGCTGTGGTTGGATTGTCCTGAAACTGACATAGTTGCTGTACAAGATAAGTGATGTCTGGTCTTGTGGAAGTCAAATGCTACAATTAACCCAACAGATGTCTAAAGTTTGTGTTGTCATCCCAAGGTTCTCCATTAGTGGTTAGAATGACGTTTTCATACTCAAAGGTGTCTTTGCTGGTTTGCTTTCTAGGAAGTCAGTATTAGCTAAAAGTTATAAACAAAACTTTCATTGATTCAAAGATATTCCTTCCTGTGACCTTCCAACTTCTAGACCCAAGAAGTATTTCATGGTACCTAGGTCCTTAATTTTAAATCCCTTTTGCAACTCTTTCTTAATAAACCACTGCCTACTGGCTTGCTTCAAGCCATACAATGACCTTTCCAACTTGCAAACCTTTCCCTACATGTGACTTAACTCCCTTAGATCGGGAGGCAACTCCATATACTCCTAATCCTCTAAGTCACCATTCAGAAAGACATTACTAACATCCATCTGGTGGATATGCCAGGCATTGATGGCTACAACTACTAACAAAAACTTCACAGTGTTGAGTTTGGCCACAAGAGAAAATGTGTTAATAAAAGTCCACACCATAAGTCTGTGTGTAACATTAAGCAACTAAATGAGCTTTGTGCTTATGAATAGCCCGATAAGGTAGAAACTTGGTTTTATAAACCCATTTAGAACCAACAATCATTTCCCTGGTCTGTCAACAATCTTCCAAGCATCAGTAGCATATAATGCAGTAAACTCCTCCTTCATAGCTTGTCTCCAAACCTCCTCCTAAGCAGCATGAGAATAGGTATAAGGGTATGTAGTGGAAGAAATGGAGAGAGAAAGTGCCAATGGGAAGGAGATAGAGAAGAATAATCAAGGTGTTTAGAGAGAGGATAAGGAAGGGTGATGTTAGGAGCACCAAATGAGGAGGTGGCAGAAAAACTGTTATGATAATCTTGTAAACGGTTAGGTTGGTGAGGAATCCTGTCAAACCTCCTCAGTATAGAGGCAACAGGAGAAGGGAAGAGGACTCCATAAGGGATGCAACATGGAGTACTAGATGACTCCATAAGCTACTAGGTACCCCTGATTGGAACTTCAATGCTCTAACAACATTCAAAACGTGTTTATGTTTCATTTCAACTTTGCCATTCTGCTGAGCAGTTCTCACACAAGACATTTCATGAACAATGCCATGAGATTGATAGAACTCTGGCATGTTAAATTCCTGACCCTTATTGGACATGATAACTCTAATTTTCTTCTCAAATTGATTACCAACCATAGAATGAAAAGAATGCAATAAAGCTTTAGATTATGACTTAAAAGCCATTAAAAACAATCATCTGCTTCTACTGAAACCATCAACTATTGTTAAGAAGTAACGATAACCATCATGGGAAACTATATCAACTAGTCCCCAAATAACAACATGAACAATCTCAAAAGGAACTTTAGCAACATAAGTGCTTCTAGAAAAGGGTAGACTTTTCTGTTTAGACAAATGGTAAATCTCACAATCAACAAAATCTGAAACTACTACATCACTACATTGTTTTTGTATTGTCTGCAATCTAGGAAGGGATAGATGGGCAAGTCTGGCATGCCACAACTCTAAACATTGATTGGTGCTCCCTCCAAAAACTTGTTGGTTGCAATTCTCACCGGGGACTGTTCTCTCTCTAAGACGGTAAAAGCCTCTATCTACGTGGATTAAACAAGACTCTATTGAGAGGTGAGGTCCCGAACACAACATAAGTTAGATTGAAAGACAAGTGCGACAGGGGAATTTTTGGTAAGTTGACTGACAAAGATCAAATTGTAACTGAATGAGGGAGCTAGAAATATATTTGTGAGAAAGATACCATATGACAACTTCACAATGTCAATGTGTGTGACTGAGGTACTCAATCCATTAGGTAAGGTGACTCACATGTCTTTTACTGCTTTGCAACGCAAGTATAGATCTATTGAGCAAACAATGTGGTCACTAGCTCTAGTGTCCAGGACCCAAACATTCATGCCACAGCATCATTATGGATAGAGAGTATTGTATTACATGTCATGTTGGAAGTGCGAGATCACTTAGTTAGCTTGAGAGGAAGAAGACGGTGGCTGAGTTGAAGTGCTCTGAAGAAGAGATTTCAATATGAATAGTTCTTCATTGGTAAAGCCAGTGAATGTGGAATTGGCCTCAACATGGCTAACTGTACTTGTAGGAGAATAGGAAGGGCTTCCACTTGAGCCATTGCCCTTATCACCAGTGTTAACCTCGACTGACCCTGCGAAGGGTTTTCTTCCTCCTTCCCTATTCTTCTTCTTAAGTTTCCAGCAGTCCTGGATAACATGGTTACCCTTTTTGCAGTAATGGCAGAATAAACCCTCTTGATGCTGATTCTCTCTAGGTTGTCTATCCCTAGAAGACCCAGGTGGAGTCCTGGATGCAACCAGTGTCTCTGCCAAAGCAATAGCCTCCTCAGACTTCCTTGTATTAGCAACTTCACCATTGAGTTGCCTCTCAAGTTGGACAACAGATCTGTATACACTGTCTAGATCTAGTAAGGGGTCAAGCATCAACATCTGGGATTTAACCTTCTAGTATTTCTCATTCAGACCCAGTAAGAATCGAATCACCTTTGCTCGTTCCTGGTATTTCATCACAATCTCAAAGGTTTTGGATGCACAATTAAAATAAGGTATGGGTAGGTAACTTTCACTCTCATCCCAGAGAAATTTGAGAGCGGTGTAATATTGTCTAATAGTCTGATTATCCTGCTTAGTCAGATCTACCTTCTCTTGCAAATTAGCGATTATGGCTGAATCACCTTGAATGAAACTTATTACGCAGATAAGTGCAAGCCTGAGATGCAATTTTTATGTTTCTAAGACTAGGCACAATATCTTCAGAAACAGAATTGCGAATCCAACATACAACAGTGCCATTTACTCTATCCCAAGTTCCATAAGGGGGATCTGAGACATCAGGTACCTGAACCGAACATAAGATAAACCCTCTTTGTTCGTAGTGCGTAGAACAACCTCCATGGACTCGCTCTAAAGCAGGTAGTTGTCATCCTTCAGATTGAATCCGATGACTGGCAGAAATGAGTTGTCACTCTGAGCTAAGTAGACTGAGTTGGTGTAGGGATCTTCGTAACAGGGAAGAACAGTTTCATTCTCCTTTTCCTTGGAAGAATTTCCTCATTGTCAGACATTTGTGGGTATTTGGAGAAACAGATTCAGAGACGAGGAAGAAGAAGTGAGAAAAGATACTTGAGCAATAATATAGTACTTTAGTTGAAAATCTTCCAAAAGTATGTAATAGATCAGTGATGCTTAGGTTAAATGTCAGCAATCATAGAAGACAGTTTATATTTAATCATTTCACTTATTCTTTAATCTAAAGTTCAAATGTTTGAAATGAGAAAATTGAACACATTTGAGATGAGGAATTAGAGTCCATTGGCTACAATAAGTACACAATAACTAAAGAAGTAAAAGTGAGCATTAGAATACAAAAATGACACAAATAATATGTGGCTAAATTGCAAATTTGGTCACTTGAATTACTAGTAAAGTTCACGTTAGGCACTAGAATCACATTATTCTATCCATAGTCACTTAAATTAGGTTAACAGTTCAAGTTTGGTCACTGGCTGTTAGTCTCCGTTAACTTTTGCTGATGTGGCGGTCAACTCTTATCGTTGACCGTTAAATGAGTGACGTGACAATTAAAAATTAATTTTTTATTATTTTCCAGCTAATTATTACAAATTAAAAAAAGAAAATCCTAATTCAGTTCAGCAAACACGGGTCCACCCTCCAGCTGACCGTCGTCGACGGATGCCGGACCGCAATCATCGTCCTAGCAGATCCTGACCTAATTGACATCTTAGCAATGAACGGACGTAGATATTTTTGTCTCCGAGGGTGATTCCGGAAATGGGCTTTTCAGTTTCATCGGGAATCTCCTCTTCCCTTTCATTGCCTCGCTAGATTGTTCGTCCTCTTCCCCCGGTCGCAAGGCGGATGACACGCTAAAGCACAACACCAAACTTCGACCAAGTGCAATCGCAGAATGGAATTGCAGAATAGTGGCAAGTTAAATTTATCAACCCGGGGTCTAGATCTACTACCTACTCCGTGACTACCTGTTATCTAGCGGGACTAAGTGTAGTGAGAGTGATTGCAAACAAAAGCAGTAAGAAAGTAGGAAATGGTTCGAAGTTCTTAAGCAAGGAAAGAGTCACTCGGGAATGAATCCCCTAGCTCCTTAGTTATGTCAAATTTGTAATTTCCTTTGGTTGATTTATTATTGATTAAACTGCGGAAGATCCGACAGTAGCTTGGAATCTCTTAAGCTTACCAAGACCTCTCAGACAGACTACCCGACAGACGACTAGTCTTCACCGGGATAGAACGCCGAGGCAATTAACATATAACTCCACTACTGGAATTGGATTCCAGTACAAAGCAGTGAATCGACTGACTCCCATATAATCGATTCACTACTACCGATTGAAGAAGCTCTAACAACCTAATCAGATTCTATCTATCTCAGGTTGCAGCAGAAATCAAGAAAAGTTGAACAGGCTTCAATTGACTCAATGAATCATGCATCAATCGATTATAATCGCACAGTATATCAATCCAAAAGTCATACAATCAATATCCCTAACACATGGAACTAGGGTTCTTCATATCCAAGTGAGAGAAAGTTCTACTCCATAGAGAGAGAGGAAAACATAATACAAAGCAGTCATACTCATCATGATGGGAAGAATCTGCTTTGGGATGATATTCTTCACTCCAAGGATGAAATCCAAGCTTTTGATTGATGAAGCCCAGCTCCAAAATCACTCATAGGGTTTGTTCTTCGCACTTTCTCTCTCTAGGATTCGGTTTTTGCTATGGAAAATAGTTTCCCTCTTCAAAGACCCGAAATTGGGTTAAAAACCCAGTTCTGCCCGATCACACGGCCAGACAAAACGGCCGTGTGAAATCCGCAGCTGCTCGTGTGGCTCTCCAAAACGCTGCGTTCGATTCAGTGACCCTAGGTACGCTACACGGCCAAAACCACACGACCGTGTGAACTCTCTAGAAATCCCACACGGCCAAAAAGGGTCCTTACACGGCCAGTGTGGCTTTGCCCGTGCACAGGGGTTCCACACGGGCAAGTCACACGACCGTGTGGAATTTAGGTCTGGCCGTCCAAACGTCCCAACTTCGTCCAATCGACCCCGAAATCGTGCCCAAACCTTCCTTCACGTACTAGGACCTGAAATATCACAAACAAGAATAATTTAGCATGAAATCGGCCTAAAACACGAGAGACGAGGCTCAAACAATATAAAAATGATGGACAAAAACATGTGTAAATATCAAGTCATAAAATTCCCCCACACTTAACCGTTTGCTTGTCCTCAAGCAAACCTGACTCAAACTAATGCAGCTCTCCAGACCTCTATAGCAACATGCACCCCCGATCGTCGGTAGATGATTTCCTAGATCATTTAACAGCTCGAGAGGTCAACCGACGCACAAGACACCTCCTAGCTTCTTCGGCGAGAACTCTAGTCTCGAGTCGACATCATGGCAAATAGTGATCAGAGGGCAAATGAATCGTGGATGAAGGGACTCTCAAAAATAGAAAGATCATGGACTCACTTTTTTCTTAAGGTGCTCTATTTTCTTCTTGAAGATGGTTGGATCCCTTTTGTTTTTTTTTTTTGTTGTTTATGTTTTTTCAAGGGTCCCAACCTGTTATTTCCGGGAAACGGGGCTGCCACCTATTAAAGGTTTTGAGGGAGCCCGCTCTTACTGGCCATGCCAGGAGCAGATGTCTCGAGCCTCATGCGATGGGAAGGAAATGTAAGGGGCCCAGAGGTAGTAGGTGGAAATTGCATCACCCTTTTCGCACTGGAGACGTTAATTTAAAAGCACAATTTAGAGCACCTTTCCCCCCCCCCCCCCCAAAACATGATACAAGATTCCATTACAGATAGAGTCCACAATACCACACAATTCAAGGGTCCTAAGATCACTAATTCACACAATCAACCAACACAATATAAAGAAGAAAGGAAACTTCTTAAATGCATCAACATCCTCCATAGTGCTACACTACCTCCCTAGGTTGGACATCACCATAAAGACTGTCAATTCAAAGCATACTGAGCAGGATATTGCAGGGAACTGTATTTGGAGCCCTCAATTCATCAAATTGGACAGTGGACTAGGCTCCAAGCACACAAACTCATCCAGCCGTCAAAGATAGATAAACACCCCCACACTTAAGTTCGACATTGCCCTCAATGGAGTAGAGGGAAAGATAAGGGGAACGATGTTACCGAGAAAATGGACTGCCGAGGGACTGGAAATGGGACCAGTCAACCAGGGCGGACTGGAAGGTGGATAGTGGAAAGGCACCGAGCTAGAATCATCAAAACACACTGGGTGATAGAAACCATAGTTCTAAGCGGAAAACCCAAAAGGAAAGAAAAGAAAAACAAACTGTGGTGGGGTTGCCTCCCGACAAGCGCTTCTTTACCGTCGTGAGCCGGACGGTGGCTCTTAAGTCTCGGTCCACCCCAAAAGCTCTTTGAAATTGACGTTCTCATTGATGAGGTGGAGTCTCAAGTCACGAGCATGTGGTGTAGCAAGTGATGCAAATGGTTAGTGCACTTGATGCAGATGAAGTCTCCACCCTCAAGACCTCTTCTTCTCATATTTTCTCGTCTCATTGCCCCAAACTAGATATGACAACATAGACTGACCACCATTGCATCCATCAAGAGGAATCGATGTTGATGTGGTCTTAGTCTGGCAAAGAGACACTGCAAATGGGTCCTTGCCAAGAAGCTCCTCGAAGTTTGGTGGAGATATCACATGTAACATAGGCCCGGTACAAGCGTCTTCCACCTCAACTTCATCCTCAGTCTGGATGTCAATTGCTTCCTCAACCCCCCCCTTCTTTCTTCAAAATGTCTCTTCCCTTGGAAAAGATCAAGAACTACCTCTTATTTGCTTTCTTCCTCATCCTCCATAACTTCCTTCCTCACCCTTGCTCTCTCTTCTTCTTCCAAAACAGATTGGAGAGCAAGTTGCCAATCAATTTCTTCAATGGGATCATCTTGCATCTCCTTGCACGGGCCCAACATGTTAGAGCAGAAATGAGGAAAGGTTTGATCTGCTACCAGAGGACTTTCCTGATCATGATTATCAAGAGAGTTGTCTGTGATAACTTCTGTATGCTCCTCAACATCCTCCTAGCCTTCGTCATCCTCCACCTCGTCTAGTGTGGTAGCAGAAAGGTGATCTTGAGCAGGCTGTGTGCAAACTTGCTCCACCCACTTTGTTTGCTTCGCTGAGTAATGAACAGCCTCCTCCATTTCATGGAGAAATGAGGGATTAGAAGGGGGCAAGGGCTTGGATTTGAATATCCATCTTGGAGCATGATCTCTCACTGTCTCGAGCAAACTGCTCCACGAAAAGCCTCAATTGTTTGTTTGGATCTGCCAGTGGAGTGTAGCATGGCTCTGCAAAGTGGCCTGTGAAGGCCGCCATGACTAACTCCAACTCACATGGCCCCTCTGATTGTGGCAGGAATTCTTCTTGAAAAGGATATTGTTCTTGAGGTTCCCAAGGGTTTGGTTGTTCTCTGTAGTAGGGGGGTTGGTACTGACATCCGAATCCATAATCTTCTCCTCCTTGACAGCTCCAGGAAGTCTCGGGGTAATACCACACGGATGGTGGTTGATACCCTCAATGGTTAAAGAAGCCATGAGGATCCATGTTTCAGATCTGCACCAACAAAAACATAACACCCAAGTGAAAAGCAAGGGTGGAAAAGAAAAGCAAAACGCTAAAGTAACAGACTTTCACGTTTCTACAATAACCTAGAGTTCCCCGGCAACGACGCCAAAAACTTGACACGCTAAAACACAACACCAAACTGCGACCGGGTGCAATCGTAGAATGGAAATGCAGAATAGTGACAAGTTCAATTTATCAACCCGGGGTCTAGATCTACTGCCTACTCCGTGACTACCTGTTATCTAGTGGGACTAAGTGTAGTGATAGTGATTGCAAACAAAATTAGTAAGAAAGTAGGAAATGGTTCGAAGTTCTTAAGAAAGGGAAGAGTCACTCGGGAATGAGTCCCCCCTAGCTCCTTAGTAAGGTCAAAGTTGTAATTTCCTTTGGTTGATTTACTGTTGATTAAACTGCGGAAGATCAGACAGTAGCTTGGAATCTCTTAACCTTACCAAGCCCTCTCAGACAGACTACCCGGCACACGACTAGTCTTCACCGGGATAGAACGCTAAGGCAATTAACACAGAACTCCACTACTGGAATTGGATTCCAGTACAAAGCAGTAAATCGACTAACTCTCGTATAATCGATTCCCTACTACCGATTGAAGAAGCTCTAACAACCTAATCATATTCTATATATCTCAGGTTGCAGCAAAAATCAAGAAAAGTTGATCAGGCTTCAATTGACCCAATGAATCATGCATCAATCGATTATAATTGCATAGTATATCAATCCAAAAGTCATTACAATCAATATCCCAAACACAAGGAACTAGGGTTCTTCATACCCAAGTGAGAGAAAGTTCTACTCCAAAGAGAGAGAGGAAAACAGAATACAGAGTAGTCATACTCATCATGATGGGAAGAATATGCTTGATTGATGAAACCCAGCTCCAAAATCACTCTTAGGGTTTGTTCTTCACACTTTCTCTCTCTAGGACTTTGTTTTTGCTTTGGAAAATCGTTTCCCTCTTTAAAGACCCAAAATTGAGTTAAAAACCCAGTTCTACCCGATCACACGGCCATGCCACACGGCTGTGTGAAGTCTCCAGCTCCTTGTGTGGCTCTCCAAAACGCCGCGTTCGATTTAGTGACTCCAGGTACGCTACACGGCCATGTGGAATTTAGGTCTACCCGTGTGAACTCTCTGGAAATCCCACACGGCCAGTGTGGCTTTGCCCGCGCAAAGGGGTTCGACACGGCCAAGTCACAAGGCCGTGTGATCTCCTCAGCTTCTCGCCAAACGTCCCAAATTCGTCCAATCAACCCCAAACTCATGCCCAAACTTTCCTTCACGTACCAGGACCTGAAATATCACAAACAAGAACAACCTAGCGTGAAATCGGCCTAAAACACAAGAGACGAGGCTCAAACACTATAAGAATGATGGACAAAAACATGTGCAAATATCAAGTCATCAGCGAACCGAGAGGACCGATGGATTTAGGCGGTCGAAGTACAAGTACCAGGAATTTCCCGAAACAGGAGTCACGTTCGCTGACGTGGCCATTGCCGATCAAAGCAAATAGGAGCTCCAAGAAGTCGTGGATTTCCTCAAAAACCCTGATAAGTACACTGTCCTAGGGGCGAAAATTCCTAAAGGTTGTCTCTTAGTCGGGCCTCCCGGTACCGGGAAAACACTCGTGGCTAGGGAAGTCGCCGGAGATGCAGGGACACCGTTCTTCTCCTGCGCGGCTTCAGAGTTCGTTGAGTTGTTCGTCGGAGTTGGAGCTTCCAGAGTGAGGGATTTTGTCGAGAAGGCAAAGGCGAAAGCTCCTTGCATTGTTTTTATTGACGAGATTGATGTTGTGGAAAGGCAGAGAGGAGCATGAATGGGTGGTGGAAATTATGAAAGAGAGCAAACTATTAATCAGTTGCTTACTGAGATGGATGGCTTTTAAGTTAATTCGAGTGTGATAGTTTTGGCTACCATGGATAGGCCGGATGTTCTTGATTCGACATTGTTGAGACCGAGAAGGTTTGATCCACGATGGGCAGTAGAATTGCGACGCCGACAAAGTTAGCGGCGGACGGTAGAAAATAATAATTGAAGGAATTAGGATTTTCTTTTTATAATATGTAATAATTAGCTGGAAAATAAAAAAATAATTATCTTTTGTTAATTTTTTAATTGCCACGTCGACACTCATTTAACAGTCAACTAAAATAGTTGACCGCCACATCAACAAAAGTTAATGGAGACTAACGACCAGTTACCAAACTTGAATTGTTAACCTAATTTAAGTGACTACGAATGGAATAACGTAATTCTAGTGGCTAACGTGAACTTTACTAGTAATTCAAATGACCAATCTTGCAATTTAGCCAATAATATGTCAAGTCCTGCACTTCCTTTACATTGTAAGAATTAAATCTCATCGATCATAATTGTGTGTGATACATATATCAACCACCAATCATATCTCAACTTACCCGGTCAAGAGGCCGGGCCTTAATCTAGTTAATATATTAATATATAAAAGTAAAGTTTTGGTGTTTCTATTCATTAGTGGCTCTCACACTCCTCCTTGCAAGTGGGCAAGTTTCAAGTTCCATCTTTTACCCCACTCTCCCATTCTACAATCTTTGTGTTCATTTATTATCTGTTGGGTCTACATCTAATGTCCATAATTAATTAATATATAAAAGCCAAGGTTTGGTGTTACTATTCATTAGTGGCTCTCATACTTCTCCTTGCAAGTGAGCAAGTTTCAAGTTCCATCTTTTACCTCACTCTCCCATTCTACAACCTTTGTATTCATTTATTGTCTATTGGGTCTACATATATTGTCCATAAGGTTTCATCTATTGTTCATTGTGTTCCTATTGCAACGATTATCTATTACGTTTTCGTCTATGATCTTCTGCTCAAATCATCGTCGTGGCCCACCAATTCGCAACCCATCTCGAAACACTACCAATGAAATCATAAGTTGTTCTCTTCCACCGTTTGCCACGACTTCTACCGAAGATCCATTAATTAATTGATTAATATATAAAAGTCAAGGTTTGGTGTTACTATTCATTAGTGGCTCTCACACTCCACCTTGCAAGTGAGCAAGTTTCAAGTTCCATCTTTACCCCACTCTCCCATTCTACAACCTTTATATTCATTTATTGTCTGTTGGGTCTACATCTATTGTCCATAAGGTTTCATCTATTGTTCATTGTGTTCCCTATTGCAACAATTATCTATTACGTTTTCGTATATGATCTTCCGCGCAAATCATCACCTTGGCCCAGCAATTCGCAACCCATCTCGAAACACTATCAACGAAATCATAAGTTGTTCTCTTCCACCGTTTATCATGACTGCTACCGAAGATCCATACCATATCTTAAAATACTTTTGGTGGAATCCTAGATTGTATCCATTAATATATTTATTTAATATATAAAATCCAAAGTTTGGTGTTACTATTCATTAGTGGATCTTACACTCCTTGCAAGTGAGCAAGTTTCAAGTTCCATCTTTTACCCCACTCTCCCATTCTACAACATTTGTATTCATTTATAGTCTGTTCGGTCTACATCTATTGTCAATATAGTCTGGACCCCACTCGCTAACCCCCGGTTACCAGTCGTAGCGGCTGATAGTCCGATTCAAGTCACATCAACAAATCTCCACCTTGACTTGAATCCTCTTCCTCTGAAATCTCTGATGTACTCTGCTCCTTCTATCTCTCTCCCGCCATCAATGCCCCGCAGGGCGGAGTCGCCCACTCAAGACATTTAGCAAGTCCAAGCAGTGTTGGAACTTGCCATGTGGAACCGGCTTCGTGAACATATCAGCAGGATTATCCGCGGTGCCAACCTTCTTCACCTTAATCCTCTTCTCTGTCCTCAAGAAATGATACCTCACGTCGATGTGCTTAGTCCTCTCATGGTGGACTTGATCCTTGGCCAAGCATATTGCACTCAAACTGTCGCAATACACCACTGCCTGATCATGATGTAGACCAAGATCACCAACCAGTCCCTTCAACCATATTCCCACCTTAGCAGCTTCTGTCAACGCCATATACTCTGCCTCAGTAGTAGACAATGTCACCGCCGACTGCAAAGTTGCCTTCCAGCTCACTACAGAACTCCCAAGAGTGAATACATAACCGGTCATCGATCTCCTCGTGTCAACATCTCCAGCATAGTCCGAGTCAGAATACCCAGACACCAAGCACTCTGTATCACTTCCGAAGCTAATCCCCACATCAGGTGTACCTTTAAGGTACCGGAAGATCCTCTTCACAGCCTGCCAATGCTCCTTCCTAGGTTGTATCATAAACCTGCTGACAACACTAACAGCATGTGCAAGATCAGGTCTAGTGCATACCATAGCGTACATCAAGCTACCTACTGCACTAGCATATGGGACTCTCAACATGTAATCCTTCTCAGCCTCCGACTGCGGTGCATAAGCTGAGGATAGATGAACATTTGAAGCACTAGGAGTATTTAAGGGCTTTGCTGAAGACATGCCAAACCTCGACAGTATCTTCTGGATGTAGCTCTTCTGTGACAAGAAAGGCTTCTTCTTCAACCTGTCCCTGTAAATCTCCATACCCAAGATCTTCTGAGCAGCTCCCAAATCCTTCATCTCAAACTCAGCACTGAGAAGCCCCTTTAATTTCTGGATATCAGACTTTGAACTCGCAGCTATGAGCATATCATCCACATACAAAACCAGATAGATCATCGAACCATCCTCCACCTTGTTGTGATATACACAACAATCATATGGACTTCTGCTGTAGCCCAGCTCAAGCATGTAACTGTCAAATCTCTTGTAACACTGCCTCGGAGATTGCTCAAGTCCATACAAGGACTTCTTCAGCTTACAAACATAGTCTTCTTTTCCCGGAACCTCGAATCCTTCTGGCTGAGTCATGTAAATTTCTTCCTCCAACTCTCCATGTAGGAAAGCTGTCTTCACGTCTAGCTGCTCGAGCTCCAAGTCATAATGTGCCACTATTGCTAGTAGCACTCTGATCGAAGTATGTCTGACCACTGGGGAGAAAATGTCATTGTAGTCAACTCCTTCCCTCTGCGAGAAGCCTCGTGCAAGCACCCGAGCTTTAAATTTCATGCCCTCTTTAGAAGTGATTCCTTCCTTCTTCTTGTAGATCCACTTGTTTGTAACAATCTTCCTTCCTTGTGGTCGTTTGACTAGCTCCCAAGTCTGATTCCTGTCATGGGATTCCATCTCATCTCCCATTGCGGCAAGCCACTGATCAGCTTCACCATCCGAAACTGCTTCTCTATAGGACTGTGGCTCTCCTGCATCCACTTCTTCAGCAACCTGAAATGAATACGCCACCATGTCCTCGAAGCCATACCTCTGTGGAGGTACTCCTGCAGTCGCTCTCTTCGGTCTACCGGAAGCAATAGACTACTGAGCTCGTGCACTGGACTCTGAAGTTTCTGGCTCTGTGGACACATCCTCATGTTGATCTTCTCCACCTTGGTGCTCAAACTCACTCTCATTGAGAGTTTGCAGCTCCACCTGCTTATCAACATTCATGCTACCTTCAACAACAGTAACCTTCAACATGGGGTTAAACATAGACTTCTCATCAAATATCACATTTCTACTGAGTATAACTCGACGCTCAGAAGGTGACCAGACTCGAAATCCCTTAACTCCATCTCCGTAACCCACAAATGCACCCTTCTTTGCCCTTGGGTTCAGTTTACCCTCATCCACATGATAATAAACAGGACACCCAAAAACTTTCAGTGAAGAGTAATCAGCAGGCTTACCATACCACACCTCATAAGGAGTCTTCAACTTGATACCTGTGTGATGTCCACGGTTGATTAGGAAGCACGCCATGTTCACTGCTTCTGCCCAGAATCTTCTCTCTAGTCAAGCATTAGAGAGCATGCACCGTGCTCTCTCCAACAACGTCTGGTTCATCCTTTCTGCAACGCCATTCTATTGGGTGTGTATCTCTCACAGTCCGATGACGGGCAATCCCTTCATCCTTGCAGAATTCGTTGAACTCAGAATTACAGAACTTCAGACCATTGTCCGTTCGCAGCTTCTTGATCTTCTTCCCGGTCTGATTCTCCACCAATGTCTTCCACTGCTTGAACTTCGTGAAAGCCTCACTTTTCTGCTTCATCATGAAAATCCAAGTAAATCTCGAAAAATCATCAATAATAGACAGAAAATACCTGCTGCCTCCAATGGATTCAACTCGTGAAGGACCCCAACAGTCGGAGTGGAGGTAATCTAGTATCCCCTTCGTCCGATGGATACCCTTCTTGGGAAACTTGCTGCGATGTAGCTTCCCAAACACACAATGTTCGCAGAATTCCAAGTTCTGCATCTTGTGCCCGCAAAGAATATCCCTCTTCGATAGAACTTACATCCCCCGTTCACTCATATGCCCCAGTCTCATGTGCCAGAGAGTGGTCATATCTTCCTGATGAACCTGAGACGATGCAACTGCAGTAGAACCAGACAACACAGACCCTTGTAATGCATACAAGGTCCCACGCTTCACGCCCTTCAGCACCTTTCTTGAACCTTTGCAGACATACACAACTCCACCTTTTCCTTTGAAACTGAAGCCCTTGCTGTCGAGTAGACTCAAGGAGATCAGGTTCTTTGTCATTCGTGGAACATGCCTGACATCATTCACTGTACAGAACGAACCATCATGTGTCCGAACCTTTATGGACCCGATTCCAACAACCTTGCAGACAGCTCCATTTGCCATGACCACGTTACCACCATCTATCTGCTCGTAGTTTGTGAAGCAATCCCTGTTCAGAGACATA